GGGCTTTGTCTTGTCCTTCAGGATCTCCCTACTCTGTGTACATATGGGGATGCAGATGAAGCATATTGAATATGTTAACTAGAATGACTATGAAATAGAATGATAAATGCTAAAATCAAAATTCATACTAGATGGATTCATAGCACTGAACACTGATCATACAAATATATGAGGAAGAGTTTTCACAGTGTTTTATGTGAGTAAAGCCTTTAGGGTTTATTTTATTACAAGTTCAACACTATCCAACAGTGTAATGTACTTGCTAAAGGAGTAACATAATGTCTGTTTCAAAATAAATATGTTTTCACAATATTTGGAATATCTGTCAGAAGCTAAACTATTCAAACAAAAAAGTCATATTCAATTTTGGAGGAAAATTTGAAGAAATTACAGTATATTTATTTAGGTAAACCAAGGCAACATGAAATGCATTTGCTGTGGGTAAAGTAAAAGATAATTAGAATGAATATATTGGAGACAACTGTAGAAATCATTATTAGGTGGAAGAAATGTTCTAGTTCTTCATACAGGAATCTGGGGGACAATGGAGAATATTAAAGAGGAATATCTAGATTATATTAGAGCTAATTTTTCTTAGTAAAGGAATGGGGCATTTGGGTGTATAGTGAGTGTCCCATCCCATGAAATATCTAAGAAAACATGTATGAGGTAGCCACCCTTAATAGATTCACTACAGTTACTTTCAAACTTGGTGAAATATTTGCTTCTGTGGCCTCTAAATTTCTTCCAAATATAAGGTATTTTTACTTTAAGAGAAAAAGATCATTTTTGGATGAAATAATTCAAGAATTGTGAGTAAATTATTGTTCCACAACAAATAAAACACTGATTATTTAGTAAGCAAGAAGCTGGACTCATACAAAAACAAGGTTTACTAATAAGGAATCTGATACATATTGGCCTTATCAAGACTCAATAAAGCTGAGACCATTTTCTCAGGATAGAGGACTGAAATATTTTAAAGATCTTCCTTTTCATCCTGGACCTGGGATTTTCTTGTGCCACCTTCAATAGTGTGTGAAATGAGACATTTTGCATTTAAAATTTTGTGGCAGTTTCTGGCTACCTACTCAACAAGCCACTGTCGTCTTCTTCCTGGGCACACAGCTAGTCTAGTCCGTGTGGCCAACCACCCTAGCAGGTGTGGCCATGTGCTGGAGTTCTAGACAATGGAAGGCAAGCAGAACCATGGTGTGTGACACACACATCCAGGCCAATTCTAGCAAAACCTCTCACAAATGATTTTCCGTATTTCTTCCACTGCCATTAACTGGGCGGTTACGACCACAGTCGTTTTGGCATTGTGTAGTATAGATATCAAAGCCATGTGACAGAAGAGGTCTAGGTGTCCGAGTTAGCACTTGGTGGAGAGATGCCTGCTGATGAAGTATGCCCGCTTATGAATGAGACCTAAGTTTCTATCATATACAAGCCATTAAAAGGTTTGGATTTTTTTTGCAGCATTCTATATCATCTTAACTGATACGGGGGTGTGTAGTGTTATAGACATCCCTAATTATTTTGCTACCTTTAATTCGGTCATGGAGATTCTTAAATACCCAGTCACTCATAACTTGTTTATAAAAGCAGAAACTCTGCTTGTCTTTTTTATTACTCTCTAAACAGTACATAGGACAAGGTCTGGAACACAGTTGGCATGGGCAAAATATTTTTCTAATGGCCTAGCAAATAATACAAATTAGGATGAAATTATTTAGTAAAATAGTATTTTAACAAATATCTATGGCATGCACACTATGAGGCATCTACTGTCAGATGGGATCATAACCGTGAACAAGTCACACCTGTCCAATTTCCTCATAAAGCTTAAAGCTCAGTGGGGGACACTGATGAATTTATTTTTTAAAATACAAAAAAATATAATGAGAATTATGGCTAGAGAATCATAGGGAACTGTAGGAATAGGGGCTCTAAACTATAGGAATGGAAGGGGCTAGACAGATCTGGATTTGAGAGAGGCATCAACAAAACTTGGCCACTGCTTGGAACTAAGGGAGGAAAGAGCTAAAAAGAGAATTTCAGGTTTCTGGTCTGAGTAACTTGGTGATGNACAGATCTGGATTTGAGAGAGGCATCAACAAAACTTGGCCACTGCTTGGATGGTGGAACTAAGGGAGGAAAGAGCTAAAAAGAGAATTTCAGGTTCTGGTCTGAGTAACTTGGTGATAGTGGCACCACCACCGAGACAGAGAAAACTGGAGAAGCAAGGTGCAGGGAAGGAGGGATGGTAAGTTCGGCTCTGGATACGTAGGGAAAAGGGGTGGGTGGGAGATGTGAGTGCATGTGGTCAGCAGGCATTAGAAGAATGAAGTGTGATGTTCAAGTGGGCAGTCAGAATCTGGGACACAGATTCAGAATTTGTCAGTAGACACATGGTAGTGAAAGGGCAGGAATGACTTCTGCTAAAACAGAATATATTAAAAAGAGAAAAAGGCGTAGGATCCATGCAGGAGAATTGCCCTCTGCCTCACCCTGGGTTTATCCCATGAATCTGTAGCTCATGCCAGGGAAGAGGGGTTCGAAATGGTTCCTGTCTGAACATGCCATTACCTGAGAAGAGGAGAGGCTGTGCTAGGGAGTCTTGCGTACTATGAGCATTTTCCGAGTGTGCACCTGAGGAAAGATAAAGGCCACAAATTAATCACTTTCTCTGTCGGATCTTGCCCCAATGTGTTGGAAACTCCCTATTGAAAATAACTTCCATGAGCTTTGACCCTGGTCAAATTGTGATTTACCTGGAACCACGAGCATCACTGGGCGAAAAAAGCCTCCCTACGTGAATGACTGGACCTAAACATTTGAGGCAGAACAAGAGAATGTCTTCAAGTAAATTCCTTGATTTCCACTTTCTCTGATGAAAGTGGAATTGAGATTCCATCAGCTGTAGAATCAAGAATTCTCTTAATATGCATGCTTCAAGGTGGCTCCTGCGCTGACCACTACGGCACAGCAGGCATGTGCAAAGTGAAGCTAACTCAGAGCTGACCTGGACTTCAGAAAAAAGTAAGAAGAAAAGGCTCAGACACTTACCCTTGCCAAGATTTATTGCAGCAGAAAATGATGATGAGGTGACTCACCCATCTTCCCTCAATCAGCATTTAGTTAATTTTCTAAGTGCCAGAGAACAGGAAAATGGCAGATCTCAGATATAAACACAAATCTCCTTTGACCGTTAATCCTGGGGACTTGCTCACGAAACACTCTGCCAGCCCACAAAGGGCATTATAGATTGATGCATGTGACAGGGGCCCTGACCACAGTTCCTGTAATCTGCACTCACCCTACTCAGTGTCGCACTCTGAGGAGAAAAACACCGAAAAGCCTTACTCTTACGCTATTGGGTTTCATAAAACCCCTCAGATCTATTAGCGTATCCTCTGAAGTCACGATTCCTCATGATTGCCAATTTCAAGGACAAGAGTTAAATTTAAAGTACTTTACATTTTTATAAGGATCTCAATATAACAACACACACCTGAGAACCTTTTCCAGAAACTTTAAGAATTGGCATGAGCTAACAAATATGATATATCCCGAGTCTTCATTTCATAGTACCTACTGAAGACAAGATTTCCATAGACAAAATATGGTCCATTTCCCTGCTCTGAATGAGGCAGAGCCATAGGCTGTCCCACAAAATGTCAAGCTCAAGGCAACAGACTGCAGCTTGCCCCATCCTCTCAATCTAGGCTGCTGGACTAGATTAACCAGCAGTAAATTCAAGACATTTTCTGGAGGAGGCCTGGTTATGGCAGTAGTGTTCATGCCAAGAACTTTCTTTCAGAAAGCTCTCTCCCATTAGAGTCATTCAATTAGGCATCTGATTACCATATTCTGTGGCTCTGAAAACAATTGGCAAGTAGGTGAGGGAGAGACACAGGCTGACAAAGCTGACTGAGGAGGCGTCAGCTGAGAAGCAGCGGGGGCGACTCCAGCTGTTAGCCTTACTGTAGTGGGTTGTCCAAGTGCTTCTAGAACTCGAGGACTATGAACTGAAAGGAATGGGTCAAGGAAGAAGAAACTTTGGCTATTTTACAATTATTCTGAACCCTCGTTGTTACTTATTGATTGTCTTTAATTTGGGTAGAGTGTTAAATGGAAAAAAGGTATTAAAACAAAAAACAAGAAATTATCCATAGATGAACTTTGCTTTGTCAGTAAGATAGGCCTAGGCTTCCCCTAGTCTCTAGGATAAAAAGCTTCTCTCCTCCAAGGAACAAACTTTCCTTATGATTGAATTTGGGGAGCATAAAAGAGACCAGTGGCAGGGAGCTCGCTCCCATCTTTGCTGTGTGGGACTAAGGGACTATAGAGAGAAGGGGCGGGTCAGATGCCTGAGTCCTGTATCGGGGCCAAGAGGATGGGAGGTAGAGGGTGGGCCTTACACAATGGTCCACAGCCTCAGTCCATGCTCATGGACCACTTTCCTCAAAAGAAAATGCAAGAGGGCAATGAGAAGAAAGAGTCCACTTTTAAAATCCTAGCTTTTCTTGTACGCATTGAATTGATTCTCTGAGTGCCTCACCATCATTGAAATATGTTTTATTCCTCCAGGAGAGCAAAATTTTGGAGAGAAATTATAAAAACTACTTGGTTATAGACCTTAAGTCTTCATGTCAGATAACTATATAAGTTTCTAGGGATCCCTAGACTTAACTAAATAACTGACTAAATAACTAAGTAATGTGCCCTGCCAGGGGGACTAGAGAATACAGTATAAGCTTATCAGACTGTTCTCATAAGTTCCAACAACTGAGCTGAGCTACCACATATTCAGGATGGGAAATGAGTTTTAATCCAAAGAAAGATCCTGAGGCTAAAGGAAAAGGTACAAAGAGTAATGGGACAGGGGACGTAGATAGTGCCACTGATTTAGAAATGTGGCCCTGAAGCCAGACATAAAGAAGTCGTCTGCAAACTAACAAGACCAGTAAAGAAATCAGATATGGATAGGAAGACCAGGGCCTATGTGGACTTTAGCCGGAGTCGTTGGCCTTACCTGAGGAGAGCCCCAGCTTGTCTGCCAGGTGGGAGTCCTCTTCACAAATGTAAATGATGCAGATCTGGCTTGCTTGGGGCCCTTTCCGAGTGACCGAATCTATCAAAGCTCGGGCCTTGTCCATAACAGTGGTATTTTCATTTCTTACTTTCTCCATCTCCTCCTGGTTCAGCACTTTTTTCTCTAATAGTTCATCCAACAAGCCATTTATGGTGCCCGGGGTCACCGACTGGATAAATGCCTTCCTTTTCTCCTTCAGGACCAAGTCTGGTTAAAGCACAAGGATTCTTCAAGTCACTAAAACAGCCACCTTTTCCTCTCGAGTCAGCAATGGGGAATAGCTTCCTTCAGACTGAATCCATAAAATGTCCCTCTCTGCGCAGTTCTGTCATCCTGAGGTACCCCCATCTCTGATTCTTTCCTCGGTATCACCCATGTGTGCTCACTGAATGGTCTGAAGTCTGAGATTTACTATCCCTAAGTTAGTGCCTGAAAACCAGGGGCCACCCTGACAGCGACTCATGTTTATTAAACTCTGCATAATGAGAGAATGCAGCAGCGATAGCCCATTTCCCTCGGGGGCAACAGTTGCTGGCACCCACCTCATGCCCATGGATCGTGCACCCTCTGTCAGATAATTCAGTTTTGATTGCAAAATGACAGTAAAATACCAGTAAAGCCCAGTTCCTTTCCAGCCCTTGCCTGGCCTGAAAGCTGTGCAGGTCTTTGGGCCCCTTCTCCACTTCCCCTTGCGCTCCTCCCTCTGCTTTCCCTCTCCCTCAGTTCTGCTCACCTAAACATTCCCAGAACCTAACTATGGCCTCCCCCAAAGCCTGCCACTTCCG